AGTCTGTTTGCTCCCTTTATCTCAGAGAGGGAGAGAGAGAGAGAGAGAGAGAGAAAGAGGGAGGATGGGGGGGTGGATGAATGAATGGATGAGGGAAGGAGAAAAATATTTACAGAGCAGCACATACAATAAGTACACTGCCAACAGAGCAAGTAAACAAAACAGTGTTGTCAGAGAGACGGGGGAGAGAAAGAGATCAGAGAGAGTGACAGGAGGAGTGTGGGAGATGGGCTTTTTTTTAATATTTGAGGGAAACAAAGAAAGAGAGAAAGGGAGCAAGGGAGAGTGACAGAGGGAGAAGGAAGTGGAAAAATTAATAAACAAGTTTGTCTTGTCTCTGAAACAACTGTCTAGACATGTCTAACGACGTCAGTTCCAGCTCTTCTCCAAACGCCTCACACAAATTTCAGCGAGGCCGCCTGGCAGACTGTGCCTCAAACTGTGGCATCCCTCACGTCTGGACACTGTGCTAACTTGCATTTTTCAAGCTGTGGCATGTGAGAGTGCCCAACTTCTTTTTCCTTTTTTTTCTTCTCTCAGTCTCTCTCAGTTCTACCTTTTATGGAAAATGGATATAATTTAGACACATTTTTGGATGCTCTCCATCCTCCCTATGCCTAACACCCCCCCCCCCTCCTCCTCCTTCTCCTCCTCTCTCCCCTCTGTCTCTCAGACACACTTGCCTCACAGGATTGCTCATCCAGACAGTATCTAGACACGCACTCATACACACACACATGCAAACACACAGCTGAACAACCCTTCGGCTTATGCACGCCACTCGCTGGTCAGACCTCGGTACTGCAGCTTGTTGATGGGCTTTCATGCCCCAGTTCACTGCATTGAGTAAGACTTCAGTAGACTCTTGCAGGGAGATGTTGCCTATTGGCTTGACACAGTTAGATGGCCCCATTCCCAGCCAGCCAGGGGCCCTTTACCCAAGGCTTTTTGCTCCGAGAGGTAAAACGAAGAGGGAAATGGATCACAGTCTTCCAGTCATTAAAGGGGGAATTAAAACTACTTATTCCGTTTTCAGTTTGTTCAACATGAACTTATTCCCTGTGCCATCTTAAATAAATTGTATGTTTTTTAGAGCTGAAGCGATTAGTTGATCAGTCAGTAAGTCAATTAATTGTTTACTTTTGATAATAGGTTACATTTCTAAACATAAATGGCCAAAATGACTAGTTTCAGCTTCTCAAATGGGAATATTTTCTGCCTTTGTTAGTCTTCTTTGATAGTAAACTGGATATCTTTTGGTTTTGGGCCGTTGGTCACTTGAGAGTAAGGCTGGGTGACGCAACTCATTAGCTCTGAGGTATCAACTGAAATAACCCAGAACCACGTAGGATCGAAACTTACCAAGTCAAATGATACCTGCAATTGATAGTTTATGTACCCAGTCCGAGGAAGAAATGACTATTTGTATTTTTTTCTTGCAGCCAATCTTTGCAAAGGTTCTTTGATTTAATGCAACATGTGTTTGGCCCAGTGCTGCAACAGCTGCAACCCATATGACCTGTGGTGTGGTGAGGTTCAGTGCAATGTATTTGACAGAGTTGACGTGCTGAGATGCTGAAAGTATGGTTACACTACACGCCTGTGGTTTCAAATTAATCAGGGAAAAAAGGCATTAAATGTAGTACCCTGTTGGTGTCGGTATAACTTTACAAGTACTGGTATTGGTGCTGCTATAATTTATTAAATGATACCCTGCCCTATTCAAGAGACTTTGAAAACCCCGCTATGGACCAAATTATAATGTAACCCAAACTGTAAATCACTTAACTGAGAAAAGAAATGGTAAATTGAGCAATAATGACACTAACTGTTAGTTGCAACCCTAATGTTTTTTTAGTCTCCTTCTTAAAACAATTAAATCAACGATAATTCACTCAGGATTCGATGTCCTTGGATGCAAAAAAAACCCTTAACTCATAAAACAACAGCAAAGACTTGTAATTTTAGAAGAATGTTTTCTTTAGGGCAGCACGTTTTAAGTACATTTTCAGGGGAATTCCTCTTTGAGGTAAATGTTCTCTTGCGTCTCTACATGTGGTCTGGTTTGGCTTTTGAAGCTGCGTGACCCAAGAGGAAGTCTGACCTCATAATTCCTCCTCACACACGCACTCCTAAAGAACGTCATCAAAACCATGAATAAATCTTTATAAGCCCAAGTGTTCAGCAGCAGCAGCCACAGAGAGAAACTGAACTCTGGTTTTTAAGTCATGGCTTTATTTCAGTGTCTCAGAGGGTTGGTTAGCTCTACAGAGAATGACTGCACAGCTGACTGAGGTTTTTGCCGCGGTGCAGAAAAGGAAACAGAGTTGCCACAGTGCAGAAGTGGGTACCAGACGAAATACCAGACAAACATCTCACACTTTCACCTTAGCACAGAAACTGCAATTACATTAAACATTCATTGCTTTGACTCGGAGCATTACAAACAGAAAAAAAACTGTTTATGCTCATAATTCACGTCACATTCCCTTAAAAGACGGACAACTTTATTTCCTTTTGAACTTCTCAATGCAACTGTCACTCATATTATTACAGCAGGAGACGAGAGGACATTGTGACAGAAAAACAGTAAAGGTCATCTCTTACGTGACTCTCACACACACTCAACCGTTGTCACTTCCCACTTCCATTTACCGTTAAGCATCAAAGTAACATTCACCATAGTAACAGTGCAAGAAAAAAATCAGTGGATGTAACATTAACAGGATTATGAGGCACAAACAACCAAACACCATACGCATCCTGACTTGTACAGTATATTTACAAAGAACCACACACAATATAAACATTAGAAAGAAGTCTGACTGCCAAAGTGCAAATGGAATTACTGCTAAGCTCAAACACTGAAAAGTGCTTCCTCACGGTGGGAAGATGCAACTGTACAAACACTGACACGACATTTATAAGCATGTATATTGTTCTGCAATATTTGATCGTGAAGCTCTAACTGGAGATTCTACAATATATACACAATTTCAGACATGTTTTGTGCGTCAAACATAAATACAATTCAGTTAGTGTTTTTATCCATCACTATCACACGTGGCTAAGATGTTGTTTCGACTGAGACAATGTGGCGTTGATTAATTATCAGTAGACTTGAGTGTGTGTCAATACATCTCTCAAACAACTGTGTAACACTGACAAGTGCTTCCGATCTGATCTAACTAGAGTTGTTCTGATACCGATAACAGTGTTGGAAATGCCTTCAATACTGCCTAAAATGCTGGACCGGGTATTGGCAAGTATGCAAGCCTATGCACCGACTGGATAGTAGCGTTGCAATGGTATGAGATTTTCACAGTGCGATAACTGTCTCAGAACATATTGTGCTGTCACGGTAGTATGGTATTACACAATATCAGTCAGAATGACCCTTAAAGGAATGAAAATGGGAGGATTATTGTTGGTTGAACAAACATTTTATTAGTATAATTGAAAATCAAAAACCATTGTGTTAATGGAAGTATGTGTAAGAAGTCTCCCCTCAGAAAATAACTAAAATAAAGGGGAGACTCTCCGTCCTGTTGCATTTCTTTCAGTATCGTAGATAACCAAATGTACACAGTATGATAGCTGTCAACTTTTGAATCAGTATATGGCAGCAACCATACCTGATACCATGTAATAAACTTTAAAGTGGTGTCACACGTGGATAAAACAGCACTTTTCCCGGAAATCAATTCTTCTTCTCTGCTCTAAAACAGTAGCCTACAAGTTGTGCTGTACTACTGTTTTAGAGCAGTGAATTGGAATTAATTTCCATAAAAAAATGTAATGTTAGCCACTGGCAAAATGTCAGGAATTTGGCAATTCACATTGGATAAAAGAAAGTTTTATGGCATCCATTTGTTGTATTTCACATCCATACAAAATTACTACTAACTTTTTGTTTTTCCAATGTATTGGTATCGGATTGGTGCTTGATATCTGCCGATACGCGAGTTCAGGTATTGAAATTGGTATCCGGAGGGATAAAATGGTATCAGAGCATCTCTAGATGTAACACTATTTAAGAGAGTCTAAGATATTTTATTTCATGATCTGTGATGCAGAGGTTGCTGCTACCTACTGACGTCAACAGAATTTCAACTACAGTGATAAAAAAATGTATTTTCTATGCCACAGTCAGGAGCTGAGTATAACACAAGTTGCCACCTGAGTTTTTGTATCTAACTGCTGCAATGCATACTGTAAACGACTGCACTACAACATCCTGGCTGTACTCTGCAGTGAAATCACAAGAGGTTAGGTTTTGTTTTGAAGCACAGAAAGCCTATACAAAGACTTTTTTTAAGGCCTGGCAGTGCTAGACTATACCTCATTCTCATACAAACAATAAACACGATGCAGACAATACTAATTGACGGAACTGGCCTGTTTTTTTATCTGCCGACTTCAAACGACACACAAACATCCTCTACTCTCAGGGGACGTTGTGCCACAGGATGAAAAGAATATTTCTTATCTTCTACTTGCTTAAATATATTTATTTTAAGTGCTTTTCTGTGCACCTGAAGGAGAGAGGGGCTGCTGTAGCACCTCTATGTTTATTCTGTCTACTGAAGACAGCATGGCTCCGTCCCCCTGGCAGCAAGGCACATCAGGCAGACAGGACAGCAAGTCAGTCTTTTTTTTTTTTTGGGTCAAACTACCACACTCCAAAACCAGCTTTTCAAGCTTGACCTCAATACATAAACCTCCCCCAAATCCTACAACCTTTTAACACTGGGGGTAGCTGAAGACATGGGACCTAATAAGTTTGGACCATGTTTAAAGCAGGATTACATGGAATTCTGTCAATTATTTAAACACGTGTAACCGGGGAATCTTTTAACACTGTATTTCGTTGTCTTTTTTTCTTCACACACCCTGCTGCTCTTTCATCATTTGTGTGTTAGGACATATAACTCCTTATAATATCTATGTGTTTGAGACCTGTTTGTCTGTGATGAACCCTAAGTCTGTCGTCGTTTTTCCTATGGAAGATCCACCATGGGAACCTTGTCTGTGGGAGACGTGGGGACAGGTTCTTTGCCTTCTGTCAGGCCAGCCTCTGGCCCCATGGAGGGCTTCCCTGCGCTGGCAGCGAATCCCTGTGCAATGTCATCAAAGGTCCTGCCTCTGGTCTCAGGCACTCGCAGGAAGGTGAAGATGAAGAATAGGATGAGGAGGACCGTGAAGATGATGAAGACGTACGGACCACAAAGATCCTGAGAGAAGAAGAGAGATATTAGTACCCCATAACAAAACTCATACTGCTTGTACATCTAACAGCCCAGACACGCCAAACTGACACGAAATAAATAGTGGCAACGAAGGACTGCGTTTTGGCCAAGAAGTTGCACTTGAACACACCACAATGTCTACAGCCAATGGCCAACTAGCATGTATGTTCTGCATCTGCATTAGAGGAAATAACTCGTCGTACTAGCAGGCGGCGGTAGTCTGTTTTTGTCATTCAAAAAGATGAACTGAAAGGCCAACTGGACAGATTCAAGATGCTACTTAGCCAGTTAACCACACACAAACAAATATGAACCTTTCTGCTAAAGAGATCAATGGTTAGAAAATGGTCTTACCTAATATAAAACATTTCTTTCACTGTTTTGTTGTTTTTTTGCTTTCCTCACTTTCGTTTCTGTTCTTATGCACTGAGATGAACTGCCAATCAGAGTTATATTATTCACCGACGGGCACCGCCACTGATTCAACAGCGGTCAACAACAAGGGCCAGCCAGTGCCTATGCTGCCTTTCACACCACAAAATCTAAGGCAACATCTCATTTTCACCACAGCACGGCTGACTGTCGGCTTGGTGTGTCAGGGTCCTTAACATTGTTGTCCTTACCGCCAGTTTAGGGAAACCCAGCCCCACCAGGAAGTTGGCGGTCCAGTTGGAGAACCCAGAGACGGCCATGGCAGCAGGTCGAGGCCCCTGGGAGAAGAGCTCAGCCACGATGAACCAGGGGATGGGACCTGGACCCATCTCAAAACTGGCAACAAAGCCGAACACAGCCACGATAGCCAGGTAGCTCATGGACGGGGTGGTTGCCTGCTCAGAGAGAGAAACAAAGAGGATGTGGGACATGTTTTTTAAATTTTTATAAGCCTTAAACTCACAGGACGACCATCACTCACCACCAAAGACAGGGAGATGGTCATAATGAGGGCAAAGATAGCCATTCCAGCCAGACCAATCAAGTGCAGCGTCCTTCGCCCAGCGCGTTCAACCAGGAAGAGCTGGAGTCAGAACCAGACAAAGATTGATTAATAAACCAGTAAATATAAAACATGCCTTTTAATGAGTAACAAAACGTGTAGTCAGATACTTACAGAGACAACAGTAAAGACAGTGTTGACAGCTCCAGCTCCTATGGTGGCGTAGATGGGTTGGGTAACACCAGCTTTTTTAAATATACCTGTGGAGTAGTAAAACACCTGAAAGAGGAGAGAGAGGAAGCGTTACTATTACCGGCTAATATGTATTTCAGTGAATACAAACTAGTGTAGCGTTTAAAACCACATTATATTTAACTTACACTAACTAACTATTAGCACCTTTTAAAGCTGATGAGGGTAACTTGTTTAGCAAACAGTAGCTGATTTATACATCCAGCAAACATGGAGCAACATTGCCATTTTCTTGGAGCTGTGTACATCCACTTTGTGAATTTAAGTCTAATATTAACTCTTTTTTTTAGCTGTATTTTGGTCCCCATCAACTCCTGACAGAAATATCTGGCTCTGTAGCGGCTAGATACTCCACTATGTTCACCAGCTGGTTGCTAACTTTGTCCGTCTGTTGTTTGGTGCTTTAGTGTCGGACATAAAATCAAAACAATAAGCTTAGAAACTCTAAAATGTTTGTAGAGTTACAATTACCAGTGGGTTTGTTGCTACAAGCGACTGGGGCCGGTTATCACCACTGATGTCCTGAATTGATTTGATTTTGATTCACAAGTTCCCGAATTTATCTCCGATTTGATGTGATTTGTTAAGATATCAATTTGATCGGGGATATTTCAGTTACAATGCCAGTTTTGCTTGAACATGAAGAGAATCTCAGGGAACTACTGCTGTAAATTGTATGAGCAAATGTTTTTAAAACAGGATTAGAAATATTGTAAATCTAACTAAATGTTGTTTCAAGAGCGACAGCATTGACTTTATAAACTCAATAACATCCCACTGAAAATACATAAAAAATGTCAATAAAATAAATAATTTCCCTGATGTCACAATACTGAGTGAGGTTAAGAAAGAAAGAAGAACACAGAAATCAGTCAGTGTCAGTCATTTCCTCTCTCTGCTGCTGAGGTGATTCACTTCCTGCAGGTGCCGCTGGTGAATTTTAAGTTTTGAGGCAAACTAAGCCAATCAGTTGGACGACATACAGTTAGCTTTTAGCTTGTTGCTAACAATTTTCTATTAGCCAAGCTAGCATGCTGTACTTGTGTATAACATAACTGCCTGGGCCTGCTTAATACCAGAGAGACTAACAGGGTTAAAGCTTCATGCAGATTGTCTGAATCGATATCAGGTCATTCAAATGAAGATCAATTTGTAATGGTTGAATCAATTTTTTTAAACAATTTCTTTCATGTAACATGGAGTTATTTGAGCCGTCATTACAGTAAAATAAAAAATATTGTCCAGCGCAGCTAGCTGCTACTGGCTGCTGTGCTGATGAGTGATATAGGTCATGAGTGTTAATATATCTGTCAGTTCAATCAATGTTGCAGTCTTTAGCCGCGGGCTGCCACGGCTTTACTGCGGTTGTCAGGTCAGATGAGGGGACACTAACACATTAAGTCAGCCTGGTGACATGACCTTATTAAGAAAATACCTATCAAATACCGCTGTTATTGTCTCTTTCCATTGACCCTCAGTGGCTTAAATTATTCCACTCAATCTAACATCGCCCGGAGCCGAGAAGTGTCTCTGGTGCATGTCAGACACATTTGTATAATTCCAGTGAATGCTCCTTTAAAGATTCATGTATGAGATGACATAGACTGACACTTGCTAATCACTGTGCTCTATTATGGGATACTGTGTTTACTCACAGCGTTGATGCCAGACAGCTGCTGAGAGAGCTGGAGGACTATAGCAATGATGATTGGTTGACGGTAGTTTGGGGAGCGGAAGAGTTCGAGGATGGTCACTTTCTTCTCCATGCTCATCCTCATCCCTTCCTCCTTCATCTCCTGGATATCATCACTCACATCCCCAGAGTCGCGAAGACGCACCAGGGCTACAGAGGGAAGAAGGGATGGATGAAAAGAAAGTACATTATTATGCAGAATGTAATGTAAAGAGAGTCTTGAAGGGTCTTGGAACATCATGTGGTAAAATTTAAATAAATCACAGGGCCATGCTTCAGCCCACAGATCATTAAAAATTGAAGAGCAATTCTAGACGCTCTCTCATTAAAACCTGATGTTGCCATCTTGTTGACATAATGTCTCAAAACTGACCTTTTCTTGCGTCCTCTTCCTGGTTGAGGACAATGAGCAGGTAGCGGGGGCTTTCGGGGCAGAAGAGAAGCAGGACACTCTGCAGTATGGCGGGCAGGATGGTCAGAGCCAGCAGCAGAGGCCACAGAGTGTCTGAGCCGAGCAGAGCCTCAAGACCGAAGATCTGCAATACACAGACAACAACAGGGGATGAAGTACTTATAATGGACTCACTTGAGGTGAGTTTGAATTTCGTCAAACTAAAACAAGTTGCTCAGCTCCTCTCCAGTGCTTTGTTCATCTCATCAAACATTTCCAGCTATCAGAGTACCACCCGAGGCTGTACAATCCATTAATCAATTGTGACCTGTGTCTGTATTTTTTTTTTTCTAAGATTACTTTTTGGGCATTTTGCCTCCATTCGATATTAAAAGCTGGAGAGAGACAGGAAAGGCAGTGAAGAGAAAGAGAGGGGATGAGATCCAGCAAAGGGCCTGGGCCAATAAAGTATGCACTCTACTAGTTGAGCTACCGGGGCACCCGATGTGACCTGTATCTAAAGCTGATAATAGACTAATCAGTCATTTTTCACGAGAAAAAAAAGGAAAAATAACTCTGATTCAGCTTTTAAAATGTGAACATTTTAAAACATTGTGGACAAACTTAGATATTTGAGGACATTACCCGGGGCTTTGTATAGACCAAACAACTTATTGATTAATCGAGAAAATAATCAACAGATTAATTGATAGTGAAAAAAATCTATTCCTGCCTATTCCTAGAGATGTAAGACATTTAATTAGACTGTGCTTTGAAAAATGAAGACGAAAGAATACAAAATATGCTGCTTTGAAATGTGGATATTCAACTCTTAAAATTAAATATCCTGTTTGCTAAAGGATGTTCTGAAAAGCTTGTAATGTTATATGATTTGTTTTTATGGTCAGGTATACTTTTCTTGTAAATTTCTGAATCCCGAGTGAATGTGGTGTTATGTGAAAAGATTTTTTACCAAAGAAATGGTGTCGTTGTGTATATTTTGTATTCATGGTGATGTGTAGGTCACATGACTGATCAATGGACAGCCTCAGACTCTAATGAAGGTATCTGAAAAAGTTTGAGGTGAATAAATGATCATGAACTGGGGAAAAGGTATACAACGCTTTGATTTTAATGGCCATGAAATACTTAAAATCTCTAATCCAGTTTATTCTGCATAAATCCACAGCTCATAGAATAAAAATCAATAGTGTAATCATCATATCACAGCATCATACCTGTGCCACCAGGATGCCAATAACGACACCCAGCTGGTGCAGTGTCCCGAAGGCTCCTCGGACAGCAGTGGGAGAGATCTCGCCCACGTACATGGGTGTCAGTCCCGTGCACAGACCGCAGAACACGCCGATGACAAACCGGCCAATGATGACCATCTCGAAAGATTGACTCACAGCCGACAGTCCCATCAGACCCCCACCAATGAGAGCCAGGATATTATTAAACAGCATGGACTTACGCCTGGTGAAGACAGACAAGTAAGTTGGACGGATGTTGTGAGTGTTGTTGATTTTTTACTGATATTAGTCACATTCTTAAAAAGTGTACCACAATCCTGAGCAGGACTTGGTTGATTGACTGTCCTACATCCTCCTATATTGAACCATTTCCTGCACCACAACGTTCTCACCTGCCAAATTTGTTGACCATGGCTCCGACAGAGAAAGACCCGATCATGCCTCCTACACTGAAAATGGCCACAGCAAAGCTCCACACCATGGTTTCAGCATCCTCGCTGAAAGGCTCCTCGTACCTCTTCATAGACACATTCTGGAAAAAACTACGCAGTTTCTGTCAAATCACAGCAAAGAGGGGCAGAATTAGTGGCTGCTTTTAGGTAAGTGTTTCTCTTATGTGATTTACGATCGTAACAACTCATTTGAGGTCAAACAGATACGACAGGACTTGTGCTCAATGTGTAATTGCGAGTTTTGACACATCCACATGAGGGCAGTATAGCTTACAGCATTGCCACCATAGCAGACATGTCATGTCAAGCGACATAATCCAGTTTGTAAAACCACAGATACAGAACAACTTTAAAGTGTTGAAAGTATTCACAAAATGGCAATTAAAAGTGTGATAATAGTTGGTAAAATATTATTATCACAAAAAGAGGATGTGGTGCATCTATTATTAATCCCTCTTGTAATGGACGTTTAGTGTTTCAATGTTTTATGACAGTGGGGACACCATTAAGAGAGAGTTCACCCAGCAAACACACACACACCTGCTCGGGTGCATTGATGACCCCAGTGTTGTAGCCAAACTGTAGTGAGCCGATGACTGCTGTTGAAACGCAGTAGAGAAGGTAAGCGGTGACCTTCTTCTTCGGCTGTCGAGAGAGAAAAAGAGATGTGAGCGATTAAAACAATGAGCAGATGAAGTTTATGCACAATTGCCCCCTCAGTTGTGTGGTGGACATGGCCTGCTTTTGCCTCCACAAAGCTCTTGTTGTTAATAGTGACACTGGTAACACACACACACACACACACACACACACACAATGACCCTTTTTGCATCTGCTCTGTCCCTCTGTGGTTTCAGCTCTCTGCATTCAGAACTGCTGTGAAAACCAAGTGTTACAACACTGCACAGACTCCATGTTTTGCAGCCGAGGTATTTTTCAGCTAAGTAGCTAAAGACACCCTGAGAGAATAAGACTGAATCCTATTGTGAGTGTTTTTCTCCCCTGCTGGTTTCGGAATTAAATTGGGTTTAGCTCATAATAACAAGCCAATGCACCTGACAATAATCCCTAACATGGCAGGGCAAGTTGGGGGAGTGAAATTTGCAATATGTAAAAGTATCCAACGGTGCAGAACTGAAAGGAGTAATTGGTTTAAATGAAGTTTTGGTTCCAAGTCTGCTGTGTGGAGGCGCCATGCCAAAAAAGGAAATCCCCAAAGTTTCACTTTGAATTAACAAGTGACTAAATCTGTTTTACTGTAACACACTAACTTTCTGAGAAATTTTGCAAAGGTTATTATTTGCATCCTGAGTCAAATGGTCCAAATAGGCTCATTAATGAAAGGAAATCCATTTTAATCACGCAGTCTTTTCAAAATCCGCCCGTTTCAACACTAACTCCACTATGCAACGTCAGGGAAACATTCATGATGCAAGTTAATACGTTGTTTTGCACAATTTGTAATCGCACTCAAGTCAGAAAACGGACACAATCACAGAGACAATGAGCTTTGTCTCAGTGTTTATCGTGCATGATATCATTATCAGAGCAGATAAAGTAACACACTCCTCAAACGTCATGAATTGGCATGTTCACTGGGAAAAGAAATTAAATCAAAGGGCTGTTCAAAGAGTCTCCCCCTCCTGAAAGAAACTGTCTGTTCTTTAAGCTGATCAGCCACCTCCTTTTTCCTGATTTACTGAGATTCAACAGAGAACTTCAGGTTCCTCATTGATAAGAAAACCCACAGAAAAGTGCTTCAAGTACATAATATCTGTGGCTGCTGCTATCAGTTACCCTCACAGGTCAGAATGTAACAACACACGCAGGGGAAGGGATGAACTACTTGAAAATATTTCACACAATAAGATAGTGATAATCAGTCGTCATCCAGCCACAGTGTGTTTCTCAGGGACGTAATGGCCTTGTCCCATAATAAAGACTAAAACAAGCTGATGTGAGCTACGTATATGTGACAGACAGAGAGTATCTCGACAGTGTAGCACACAGGAAGTGTTGCATACACGATAAAGTGTGTGTGNGGGGGGGGGGGGGGGGGGGGGGGGGGGGGGGGGGGGGGGGGGGGGGGGGGGTAATGAAACAAATGCACGATAAAGATGAAGCAAGAATTAATAAATAAGGGAAGTGATCTAACATTGAGAATATAATATAATATAATGTGTAAGTTCAGATTACTCACATGCCATGTTTGCTTGTTTTTGGCATACGATCACCTCAGATAACCTGGAGGGTGGTGTGACTATATCTCTGAGCTTGTGGTATAGACATGCCAGTTGCATGTGCAGAGACATGCTGCTGTTGAGTAAGACTCAGACAAAACACCTGCATTGTTAAGCCTTTTTCTATACAGCTACTCCAAATTAGGGAGTGGCAGACTGAGGAGTATTATATATGATGTGAATCCAATCTGACTGACTCAGAGGTTGCATCAGCAGGTTTTGACGCATTATGGTTGCACAGGAAGGTATTCAATCTAGTGCATTTGCCTGTGTTTTATACATTGGGTACCAGGCATACAGTGTTATAAGTAATGCAAATACTGGCACAGTTCAGTGACAGTTTGGAAGCATTGTCTACTCATGAAGATAAGGGGTGTGAGAAAATATCAGTACTTAATTTTGTGAGATTGCATCGATTCTCGAATGGGCTGTAATGTTTTTTTATTTAGTAGTTTACATGCAAAGATTTGTGGCAGTGGTTTATTTTGTGTGGTGTTTAAACACCAAACCACTAGATTCTTCATTGTTGTAATCTGTCTTAGGCCATTTGACGCTTTCACTCAAACATAACAACATATCTCTAGTGTAAACACAAAGAACATGACACAGGCAGTCATAAATGGGGCACTGCTAGCATTGACAGATCTCCCAAAGTTAGATTTTAAAACTACACTATATCACCTTGATTACAGTATTGTAATAGGTTGAATCATAATATGTGTTGTATCGCCAGGTTCTTACTAACACACAGCTCTAATGAAGAACATGTTATGTAACTGAAAGCTCCCAAACAGCTACTAAATGGATTGTGTGTTGAGATTATTTTCTTAGCTGCTGCCTTCAAAGTCAAGAATAAACTTTAAACTTTAATTTCCAAGCTTTACCCTCCTAATGTGGTCACTTCCTGTACTTCTGTTTGGTTCATTTTACTCTAATGATTAATATATATATTGAAAACTTGACAAACAAATGACTCCAAACCACATGCAGTTACTGTGTTTCATCAGCTCATCTTCTGTGTCATAAGAAAAACTGTCTGACAGAAAGACTCTGGATTGACACACCTTTTTTGTGACACTCAACTTCCACATTCATGACATCTTGCAATCCTCATCCATATCTCTCTGTCTCTTACTCAAAACCTCCCTTTCCCACGCTTTTCACAAAATTAGCCATCTGTCTCCCTTTGTATTTTTTGACTATATATTGCATTGACCCTTTCTCGTGTCTCTTTATGTAAAGCAGTTCCTTTACACACTTTTCTCCTCAGTGAAGTGCGTCCACAAGACTAGAATATTTAACCAAAAAAGGTATCTTTGGTTGTGATCATTGTGTGCGTACATTTTGCACGAGGCTTTTTGAAGTGTGTGCTAGTATTCACTGTGGTTTGGTTTTCGTTTCATCAACTCACATGATATGTACATCTTGAGTAACAGCCATGAAAATGAAGCAACTGCAAGTTTCAAAAGACAAACCACAGGAAAGGTTTGCAGAGACGCATCATAGTAGGCACATTGTCAGTCACTTTAGATAATCTACATAATACCAAAGAGTAAGTGCATCCAAATTTATCATTTAGTTAATAACAATAACTCTCATGTGTTGCGTGGTATGACTAGAAGCACACCCTATTCCTCTGTCAAATATTTGTGCTCTTGTAAGTTGACAATCCTCTCCAGATCTCCCTTCCTTATATTACTACTATTCCCTCATACCAGTTTTCCAAAGAAGATGCAAATACAAGCAAGAAACTAAAACACACTCAAGTTCAAACTTGCCCCCCAACAGTCTTGTCTCCCACTCTTACTCTCTTAGTCATCTCCTGACTGAGTACTCGACTTGTCTCCCCCCCAATCTCCTGCTCTTGCCAGAAAGGAAAAATACAGAATTGCCACCCTGTGACTCGTAAATACCGCACTCTTATTCATTAGGACGTGCTGGCACAAATCAGGCTCAGAATAAAACAAACAATGGCAAAATGGCTGGCACTCTTCCTCTGGGACCAGGGGGAAATATTACAGACAGCTTAAATGAGCGTGTTTGTGTCTGGCAAGATTACTGTAGGAACTGTACAGCAGTATCATATGTGCAGGGTTTAAAAGATGAAATTAGTTTGTAGAAGACACATAAAAGCAACACCAGAGGGCCATGCAGCAACAGAAATAAGAAACAGTTACCTTTTCGTCTTGCATGCGCTCCATCTTTTGCAGCTTGGTAGCAGATATTCAGAAGTAAAGTACAGTAACTCTTCAGATCGCAGGTTGAAGCGTCTCACACTGAGCTGCCTCTTCCTCCTTATGCACACACACTTCTGAGCAAACAGTCCCCAGAGAAACCTGAAAATAAACAAACAGGAAAAGTGTGTCACATTCATTAAACAAACAAAGAATAGCTGTTTTAAGACTCTGAGTAACTATCCTATAGCCCATACCAGTGAGGATCATAAAGCAGAGAGCTAATGGGCTCAGATAGAGTGGAGCACTTTTCTACACTCACTGAATTCAACAGGAGTTGGTGCCCAAAAATGACAGTAAACCCCTCCCTCTGCTTCCGTATTCACCCTCCTCTTCTGCGGTCTCTAATCATCAACTCAAAAGAGAAAAGTGATGTAACTTTGTCCCTCCAAATTAAGTTATTGTCGCCTTGCTTGTTTTTATCAATAAGACTAAAATACATTTTCAAAGGGCTGCAGAGAGTTTAATAAGCAACATGGTGCGATGGAGCTGCAGGTGATGCTGTAAGATCAACGGGATCTCACTGTTAAACTGTTTATTACTGGTCGTAAACTATTCAAATTCCAGAAATATAATATTAAGAATACAGATATATAATTCAGCACCTTAAATGGACACGTGGATATTTTTGACAGAGACAAAACGCATGAATGAATCGGCATGGTGATGAAAAAATAAATGTTTGTTTACCGTTATGTGGGATTTGTGCCAGCCGTTGTGTATCCAGTTTATCAATCCTGTCCGGATTTGTTAGCACAGACAAATGTTCAGCCCTCCCTCATGTCAGTGAGTTTTTATAGGAAGTGGCACAAGTTCGCCGGCACGTTTCGGCGCTTTGTTTCTTACTCACTCTTTACGCGCAGGGAAGCTCCCCTATGCGTAAAGAGCGCATACAGAATTTCCCACCCGGCCGACTCACTTGGGACTCACTCGTGTCGTAATGTCGGTGGCAGCAGCGCAGATGCATTTCCGCTCAGCTGAAGAAGTGGGACGTGCTCGGGGGAGCGTACAGTACGGAGCCGAGATGGAGAACAAACGGCGCCGGTGAATGAGGGCTCTGTGCTGCTGCTGGCCCGTCGGCTGCCCACCGGGGGCGCGAGAACAAAAGGCAATGTGCACGGAGTTCAGATACAAAGCCTGGTCATGCAGAAATCATGAGACCGGCTCAGTGGGTGGCAAACAAACGGGGAGCCCTCGTAATTCTTCATCAACTATGTCTAATCTTCACAGCCCACCTAAATCCCAGTCTGGAATCTGACAAGTGCTCCAGGAAAATGCGAGAGAGCAGAGCAATATTTAAATCCACCCGGGGAGCAGGTCGGGTCACTACTCTTAAGTGTTTTAGCATGTTCATTAGATTTACAGTGACAGTTTTAATATGAGACCACTGGACATGAGCTTGAGCTTGGGTTTGGGTGACAATAAGCATTAAAAGTTAACTTTTTTTATGCTTTAGTAATAGTTTAAAAATGTATTTAAAAACAGAGGTCATGTAAGCCAACATGTAGCCAAGAGAAAACAATTTAAAGTGTCATTGCTTATATAGTATAGTAGCCTATACCTACCCACCTCACAAGATTTTGACCACATATCAAAACAGGGCTGCACAATATTTCTTTCTTTCTTTCTTTCTTTCTTTTTAATTATCATCACATGTCAACTTGCATGCTAAAGACATCACAAAAAACTGCAACAGTGCACTCAGGGACTTTTTTGTTATTCATTATTTAGTAGAATAATGCACTTTAAAATGTAGCTGTCAATTTTTTTATTGGTGCCTTTCAGGTTTAATCAAATGTTATGTTTATTTATTGCATGTAATATCATTATCATGATATTTAACAATGTTATTGCGCATCAAATATTTCCTCATATCATGCAGCCCTATGCCAAAAGTAAAAGTCTGTAAATAAAAATATGTAAAAGTTGAGTTTTTCACATTATATTCATGAATTATGCATTTTTATTTTCCAAACACGAACATGTTTTATTTGATGGGCCTAAAAGTAGCCAGTTGAAATATATATACTGGTAAGCAAAAAAATAAAATAATTGAAAATATTGGGTCAAATCATATAGTACCGCAGTTGCAGGTTTGTGGGCTTTGGGTCTTGATAACTTAATATCATGATGAAAAATAGTGGTTGAAAATAACCGTTTTCTGGTCGAAAGAAGCAGAAATATAAAGATGGCAAGGTCAGATAACGTTTCATTATTATGGGTCAGTAACCCAACAGACGTACAAAATTAATACTAAACCTGTGTCAAAAAATACTCCCACTTTTGTTTTTTATTAATGGCTCAATATAAAAATCAAAAATAGCATTACCCTGGGTAAAAGTAACCATCCTTTTTAGTTTAATTTAAATAAATTAATTTAGTAAATATGACATTGTCAGTGGGTCCAAATAACCACATATATGGCTGAATAACCAAATGGGAATAATAACAATGACAGTATGAGTCAAAATGCTTTTTATTGTCATCATATTATTTCAGGTATCTTAATCATTACAAAGCTCATGCTGCTGACATTTGTGTCTTTTTTTTAAAGTGGGAAGTTATATGAATAGGTGTGTCACCCAGTGATACATCAGACTAAACTACTGATATATAATGATGAGTAGAAATAGATAACAACAGTTACAGCACAGGTTTAAATGAAAAGTATGTTGTAATTTTGGTGTCATAAAAAAATAGCTTTGACTCCGTTTCATATTCAGGGTTCTGCTGACTATATTTCATGACTGTCAGACCTGATACAAAGAAACAATATTCCAGTAGCTTCTATTCATTAATCTTCTCCCATATGACAGTAATTTGACCACTTAGAGCTTTTTTCAAAGTGTCAGATTCCCCCTCATTTTGTAAGTTAAGTACGCCATCTGATATGCATGCTGAACCGTGTCTCTCCACTTGTCTGTCAACGGACATGACTTCTGAAGCCAGTTCTTGTTATCTGTTTCATTGCTATAATACGCAGTATCTTTAACAAGTATTTATCATTTTGTATTTTGTTCATCATTTTGCCTAAGAGCACAAAATAACTGGGTCAAAATAAGCATTATTTGTGTCAAGGACCCCTAAATTGATACACATTAGATCATTGACCCCAATTTGATAAGAATTTGCTTCAAGGACCTTCATCTGAAAAGGTTTGGGTTTTTAGATATGATAAAAACTCTGGTCTTTCCATACTAATCAACCACAGCGGAGGAGATAATCATGGAGGAAGTGAATCATTGGATCAGAATAGTAACTCGTATGACTCTTACTCACATTAGGCTCCCTTCTATAGTGAATCAAACAGAGTAAGTTAAATATTCCCCATTTTTCCGGGGACCTCTGGTTGAGTTAGAGGAGCTCTGTACAGTATTCAGAGCATATCTATGATTCAGAGGTTGTCTGCACAGGACTCTCAACATGGAGGTGGCTGAGCCGGCAGCTAACAGTGCTAACGACAGCAATGGTGCTGATAAAGCTGACATTGTTAACAAGCAGGGAACCAGAGGGTGGGCGCAACGCTTCTGCAGCGGAGTTGTAAAAGTCGTATAAGTGCAATGCAGAGTGGCAGTGATCAACTTGCCAATGATAAACACACAGGGACTCACATGCACTCATCATCTACCACAACAAAGAACAGACAAACTCAGGTTGTAACACACAGAGGTAGCATGACTTCATTCTCTGCTCACAACGCCATCACTCCACTCTATCTTTACATAGCAAAAAATGATCTGCTGCTACATTGAAGCTCTGAATATTTTACAAAGCTCCTTTAAAGTTGATCCAGTGTTTTGACCCCAGGAATTACCCCCAAGGTTATGGACATGACCTCTGTGTCCTTAGTTGCAGCCACAGCCCTAATCAGTATTATGCTGAAATATGCAGGATTAATGATGGAGTAATTATGAGTGTTGTTGTACACCATTCAGAATCATGAAGTCTAAACGACCAGCTCACTCTTTCAGAGCTCAGTCGAGGGCAGCGCTTTGTGGTTGTTTTCTAGTTGAATGTTTAATCAGGCGTGTGATGATGGAAACTGAGGCCTGTAGATAACAGCCTGATTAGAAGAATTGGAAATAAATAGACACATTTATTCTTGAGGTGAAACTGCTTCATTACTAGTGTTGATAACTAAATACAGATTATTTATGTGCTTATAATAAAGTGTTTCCAGTATGAGTTTTAAAACAGCAGCTGGGTTCATGACTCGGAGGTTTTGTAACTACATATTCTGCCCATTTGAACTTGTATTGACTCATCTCTGGATCATTATGAAACTGCGGCGACACATTTCATCAGAATTCAGATTCAGTGGTATAGGGCAGGAAAGCCATCACTATTATGCAAACAGGAAAGAATTAGCAAACGTTTCCTAGAGATACTGAGATCCCTCAGCACTAAACAAATCATGACTGACCTTATATGGCCTTAAATATGACAATATGCCACCACAGTTAATAAACCGTGAATATTAATGTATTTTAGAATACCTTTAACCACCAACCCTACTTTTGAACAGGTCCACCCGCATGACAAAAATGATAACGTTTTATCGCTGATAATTTAAACCACACATTTCCTGAGGCCTGCCAACAGATGTACAGTGTATCTGATCCATTTATAAGGTTATCCAGTCAGAGCCTTGGGGGGAAAAAAAAAGTGACCGGAAATCTGTTGTAAGAGTGATTTTGCATCACACATGCCAGGTTCTGTTTAATTTGTGTGGCTCCTTCCCTTTCTGTCTTCTGTGGAATCTCAATCATTTCATGCAGCCCTAAAATAAGAAAAGAGGAAGCAGCAGAGAAAGGGAGACGTGCAGATGTTCAGGTTCAGCACCCCATGGTTAGTGTTTGTTAATAGTATTTATTCATTCCTCAGGAAATACACCTCTCCGCCCCAGCAGCCCATCTGGATCCCATGAGCCGTTGCCAAGGAAACCGATCTTGCAGCATCTCCTGCGG